TTATTATGTCCACTGTAGAGTATGATTAGTCTCTTCAATTTTGACGAGCCTGGCGGATTTTGGCAGGAACCCACAACTCGACTTGCAGGCTCAGGATTTTGCCCATAGGATTGGTCAAAAGAAAGAAGTTCAAGTGTTTCGTTTCTGCACTGAGGTTGATAATCTCCCCTGTGTATGTCAAGTAAGAATAACCTAGGTGAGTTTAAATTAATAATGTATTGGTTGTTTACAGTCTTCTATTGAGGAGAAAGTGATTGAGAGAGCTTACAAGAAGTTAGCAATTGATGCTCTGGTGATTCAACAAGGGCGATTGGCAAAGCAGAAAAGTAAGTTCGTTATCGTTAGATTGTGAAATGCATTGGTTCATCTGAGCAGAATTAATATTTATCTTTACAATGCAGCTGTCAACATGGATGAGTTGCTTCAAATGGTAAAATATGGTACTGAGATAGTGAGCCCAATCAAAGACGAACATATTGATGTAATCATTTTGAAAGGAGAGGAGTCAACAGCTGAACTAGATGCCAAGATGAAGAAATTATCAGAAGGTGCAATTCAGTTGACATTGGCTTTTTCCCTTATTACGTTTGAGTAAATATTGTAGTATTTGGATAATCTATTGTTTGATTTGTTGCAGGTGCTGACCTTGATTATGTTGATGATGACAAGGTAACTCTTTTATATATCTTTGCATAGTTTAAGCTTTCATGTCATACCCTAGTAAATGCTCTGTATTACTGAACATAAAATATGTTGATACTTTTAATTATAATTTTATAGGAAGCCAATGACATTTACCTTTCATGGGCTAATGAACTTGTAAGAATTGATGGACCAAGAGATCATGAGGTTGATGTTGAGAAACTTGATGATGCTAAAAAAGCGGGAGGGAAAAGCTCCCACAAGTGCACCTTAATAATTACTGAAGGAGATTCTGCTAAAGCTTTTGCGGTTAGTGGTTTTATTCTAGATTTTTATTAAATTTTTATTTATAAGTCTGCTAATCATAAATAATTAACAGAGGGCGGGGATCTCTGCGATGACTCCTGAAGCTCAGGACTATTATGGAATTTATCCTATTAGAGGAAAACTAATCAATGTAAGAGGTCTATCTCTTCAGAAAATGAGTGACAATGTTGAGTTGAAAAACATTAAGACAATTCTCGGCCTGGGAGATCCCGATACACCAGAAGCAAAAAGCTCAGAACGCCCACTACGCTACGGCCGAGTCATGATCATGACTGACCAGGTAAATTATGGTCATATATCCATAATTTTTTTTTTGGGATAAAATGTGAATATTATTACCAAAAGGAAAAGCTATTACAAGAGCTAGAAAGCAGAGAACTTCAATGGCCCAAAAAGTAAAATACCAAGAAGTTTAGTAGGGCAACAAATGCATATAGAAATGGATTAACTAAATCTATACCATTTGGAAAGGAGACCACAACATCCTTTGCGAAATCTCCTATTTGTAGTGCGGTCACTAATATATCCTATTTTTTTTCAGGATGATGATGGGTTTCACATCAAGGGTCTGTTGATCAATATATTTCATTGTTTATACCCGAGTTTACTCCAGCGGAAGACACCCTTCTTAGTTGTGTTTATAACACCCATTATTAAGGTCAGTAACTCAGTATAATAAGTTGGTCTGAATAATTTTTAATGACACTGGAAGTAACTTGACATTCTGGATATATTAGGCCACAAACAAAGAGACCAAGCAAACCCTGGAGTTTTATTTCTTGGATGAATACAAAACTTGGAATAAAGATCTAGGCGCCAATGCAGCAGATTGGGACGTTGACCATTACAAGGTATTATTCTTATTAATATCATGGAAATAGAAGGTTAGGTTCAGAAGAGATACTTGAAGGTGGAACTGGGAAGACAGAAGAGATACATGTGTTTGGCCGAGGAGATAAGCTGAGAACAAATAGAGCTTTTGTTAGAAAATGGACTTTTTACTTTGTTAGGAAATGGATTAAGAGGAAGAGAATTAGGAAAGGGGTTTCTGACTTTTGTTAGTCGCCTTTGGCTTAGGGAGAGATTAGGGACTCTCAAGCAAACTCGATACTGTTTTTGTTCTTAGTTCTCGACTAATATAGAGAACCATTGAAGTTTATCAACTATTTTTTTTTTCTTTACAGGGACTAGGTTCGTTCCAAAGTGAAGAGGGAAAGCTGTGCTTCAAAGATTTTCAGAGTCATGTAAAAAGCTTGGTCTCCTTGGATACAGAAAAAGATGAAAGTGCAATGAAGCTTGCATTTTCTAAAACGCAGGCGCAGATAGATGCTCGAAAAGCTTGGATTGCGAAGTTTATAGCTAAAAAAAAGAAGAAACTTCGAAAAGCCAGGAAGCGTGACTCGAAGAAAGAATTTACAATTGCTGAATTCGTACGCCGGGAGCTGATTTTTTACTTTGAGGCAGATCTTCGACGGTCAATCCCCTCAATAGTCGATGGGCTCAAGTTGGCTCAGAGAAAAGTTCTTTTTGCTGCGTTCAAGAAAAACATGATCACGGGTACCAAGGTCAAGGTGTCTGTCCTCGCTAGTGAGGTGTGTGAGCATGCTGCATATCACCATGGTATGGATAGTGTTGTGAGTACCATAATTCATATGGCACAAGATTACGTTGGGAGTAAAAACATTAATCTCCTCCAGCCCATTGGTCATTTCGGTACTCGTAACATGGTGAGTTTGTTGCTTAGATTTATTATTGTTGTTATCTAGGCCTTTACTAATCATTTACATGACTGTTGAAAATTAGGGAGGAAAAGATGCGGCTCATGCAAGATACATCAAGGTTAGGCTCTCTCCAATCACAAGACTCTTGTTTCGCGAGGAAGATGATGATTTACTTAATTATAAGAACGAAGACGGGAACAGCCCAGAGCCATCTTGGTAACATTCTTTTCCCATAGTACAATTCTTTTGTATTTCTGGTTTTGAGACAATAGTTAATTTTATATATTAACATACTAGGTTCTTGCCTATTATACCTATGATACTGGTCAACGGGTGTCGTGGAATAGCAACCGGATCGAGTTCTTATGTTCCAAACTACAATCCTATTGATGTTATAAAGAACATAATGCGTATGTTGCTTGGTCAAGATATG